GGAGGGTGGTTTTTTGCCGTCTTCTGGACATGGAGCAGGGATCACTGTGTGTGTGTGTGTAAGGGGGGAGGTATTTGTAAATTTCCTGCATTGTGCAGGGGGTTGGACTAGATGACCCTGAGGTCCCTTCCAACTCTATGATTCTATGATAATAAGCCAGCCACCTATCACCTGGCATTTTTTCCATTTTGTTTTAGAAAGATTTTTTTTAAAAGCAAAACTTTACCACAAATGTCTACAGTACCTGAACTTCTCCAACCGTGTCAATCAGATCCGAGCCAGTTGCCAGGCATGTTCAGTTCATTGCTGACTGATTCAGATGCCCGCTGACAGGTTTACAACATTTTTAAAACAAAAGAGTGCACTCATGGAAATGCTGCCTATTCAAATAGATTGTTGTTCAGTCGCACAGTCGAGTCCAACTCTTCGCGACCCCATGGACCTGATCACACCAGGCCTTCCTGTCTTCCGCCGTCCTCAAATAGATGGGGAGCCATTAATGTTCCTACTTAGAGGAACATGAAAGGTTTTGTCTTTAAAAAGCACAGCATTTGTTTAGGATTGATTTTATATGTTTTGTGACTGATTGAGCTGTTGATTAAAACAATGGCTTCCTGAGCAGAACAGCAGTACAGCTGTGTGAGAACACACACGAACTAAAAGCTGACGGTGCTGTTCTGTACAATCAGGAAGAGCTGAAGCAACCGGCTGAACAGGTGTGATGTGGTTGATGAACAGATGAACTGTTCAACAAACAGAAAAAAACCTTGTTCTTGTCTGCCAATGGTGAACAGGGCATGAGCCGAACTGGCAGGTATTCGAGCATCCCTAGATGCATCCCCACCACCTTGCTTAGCTAATGCTCACCCTGTCTTCTGGTAGAAAGAGGCTTTCTCGAAACCAAGAGGCTCTTTCGGCCAGTACAGGATGAAGACACTGCTGTTGGCTGAGCAGAGCTGTAAGATCCAACCCCATGTAGTTAAATAGGATCTTCTGCAAACATGCAGAAAGTTCCAGGTGGGTAGCCATGTCGGTCTGCAGCAGTGTTCCCTCTAAGCTGGGTTAGTATGAGCTAGCCTCCAGCTCACACCTTTTTGCCTTAGCTCAGGAAGGACGACTCCAGAGCAAACTATGCAGTAGCCAGACCGCTCGCTCACAACTTTAATGCCAGTCGCTCACAAAGTAGAATTTTTGCTCATGAGACTCCACAGCTTAGAGGGAGCATTAGTCTGCAGTAGACTTGCAAGATTTGAATCCAGTAGCGCCTTTCAGACCAACATGATCTTCAGGGGAGAAGCTTTCAAGAGTCAAAGCTCTCTAAAACTTCTGCCCTGGAAATCTTGTTGGTCTGAAAGGTGCTACTGGACTCAGATCTTGCAAGTCTACTGCAGGGAATCAGGCTACCCACCAGAATTAAAGAAGCTGAGGCATACAACGGTACATATGTGAGGAATGCAGAACTCTCCTCTTATCCTCCTCTCTCCTTCCTCTAGTCTTTCTACCAAAGTGCTTTTCTCCCAGCCCAGCTCACTTCTGGTGTTGAAATTAGTCTGGGAGGGCCCTAACCTGGATAGCCCAGGCAAGCCCGCTCTCGTCAGCTCTCAGAAGCTAAGCAGGGCCGACCCTGACAAGTACTTGGAAGGGAGATCTTCAAAGAATACCAGGGCCGGGAGGCAGAGGCAGGCTATCAAGCCACTTCTCTGAATGTCCTCCCTGCCCCAGTAAGAGTCGCCAGAGGTTGTCAAGACTTCCAGGCACAGGCACACACACTCACATAAAATGCAAAAATACCAAAAAAAGAGAGAGAAATTAGGCTGGGAGGTAAACAAAGCCATTGGGAACAACCTGTAGGTATGAAAACTTTGTGTGCATGTGCACGGTAGTAGTGTGGACTCTGCACTCCTCAGCCATGCGCCTGGGCTACTTTTAAGACTACACCACCCCCGTCTTTCCAAGCAATCGTGGCACATGTGGTGTTAGTACCCAGAGTAGGGTTGCCAAGTCAAAAAAACTCACCGGCGGGGGAGCCTCGCTGGGCTCCGGGAGCCGTCCTCGGATACGTGCGCGCCACCGGAAGTGACGCGCAACATCGACCATGTTGGGGGCGTGGCCCGGATCATTGGAGGGAAAACCATAGAGTTTTCCCTCCGACGATCCAGGCCACGCCCCCAACGTGATCAACATAGTTGCGTCACCTCTGGTGACGCAGCCACGCTGCACTTAGGGGGGTGGAGTTCCCCCCGGGGCCCGATTCTGCGGCGGCGGGAATCGGGCCTCCAAAGCGGGGGTTTACCTGCCCCCCGCCCCCACTTGGCAGCCCTAACCCAGAGCTGCCACCATTCCATCTAGTTTGGTCACAGGATCTGTTGCAAGAGTGGCTTCTCTTCCCAAAGCATGATATCTACCAGAGCCTAAGAACAGTGGCAGGGACTCTTCCCAGGGGATCTGGACTCCTGACTTTATTGAGTGGCACAGGAAGGAGCGACAGGGCTGCTGTTCAGAGTAACATGAAAAAGGCCTCCAAGAAACCTTATTTGTAAATGAAACACAACGTACCAGAAGCGTATCCCTACGCATTGGTCCAACCTCTACAGCTTCGTTTGCACTTACCAAACCCTCAAACCATGAAGGCCCAGGCAATGACCTCCAGGAAAACACCAGAATCAAAAGGCCCGGTTTGTCGGACAAGTAAAACGCTAGTTTAGAGAAGTGAGCAAACATGATAATTATCTCTCATTCAGGAACAGGTAGGTAATAACCACCCTGCCTGCCCTTAGGAACTTGGAGTGTTATTAAATTACAGAGTCTAGCTCCTGCACAAATCCAAGCCTTACTTTTCCAGGAAAGGTGTTTTACTAGGAACCTAAGTACCTGTTAATGGGAGACAACATTGTAATTTATTGGGCATGTCATCTGCCTTTACAAATTATTCATTAGTATTAAAGGCTGGCTTATGGCTTCTTCTTGGAGTCTCCCTTTCTGCACCCTCCCTCCCCGTCCTGGCAGCCAATGTCTTTTCTCAGTGGCGTTGGTCTTCTCATTCATGGGCTTCTCGTCTACTGGAAGATGAGCGTTTCCTAACATCCAGTTTTGCAGTTGTTTGAGTGATGTGCAGCATGAACTGGTGCATGTTCCCTAGGAAGTCAGTCTCACTGAGTCCAGTGAGGCTTAAGCAAGCCTAGGACTGCTGCCATTAGCAGAGAGAGAAGGGGGTGTTTTTTTGCTTTGGATTTACTGTGTGTGTCTTAAGGGCTGTCATGTCACTTCCAACCAGTGCTCCCTCTAAGCTGTGGTGTTTTGTGAGCAAAAATTCCACTTTGTGAGCTCCTGGCATTAAAGTGGCGAGCGAGTGATTCGGCTGCTGCATCAATTCGTTTGCTCTGGAGCCATCCTTCCCGAGCTAAGACAAAAAGGTGTGAGCCGGAGGCTAAAAGACTATGAGCTGGCTCACGCTAACTCAGCTTAGAGGGAACACTGCTTCCAAATTATGGAGACCCTACGAATTATTATTCTCCAAAACGTGGCACATGTGGTTTGTTCAGAACTTTCAAATGGAGGGTCATGGCTGGCTTGATGGAGTTGATCCATCTCCTGCTGGGTCTTCCTCTTTTCCTGCTGCCTTCAACTTTTCCTGGCATTATTGTCTTTTCCAGGGACTCTTGTCTTTCTCATCATGTCACCAAAGTACAATAGCCCCAGTTTAGTCATTTTAGCTTTCAGGGTGATCTTTACAATTATACTATTGATACTGAGTTTTTCCTCTCTCGTTTTAATCCATCATGAATATGTCGTTTTACATATATGAATATTCATCGTTCACACACATTGTACCTGTGTTTTCTTCTGAAATGAAGTCGGTGTTATGTTTTTTCCTTCTTTGCTGCCTATGGTGATGTTCCTCGATTGCTGATGAGAACTTTGTTAACACTGATCAAAAGAACTCTCCCAGAGATGCTATTCCACATTGTTATGCCTTAATGTTCAGAAGATTGCTCAACCTATTACTTGGAGAAGCAAGTCTGTTCCCCCCACCACCACCCCAGTCCTTCTCCTGGCTTTACCCCAGGGCTGGGATCCAAAGAGTTATTCTAGGTGTGCCCAAGGGCTTGGGCATGCCCAGCAGAATATTTGTTTCATTTCTTTTGAACTACATTCTCTTAATGTCACAGCACAATTTACATTTGCAAGTAACCTTCATTCCAAAAGCTGCTTACTCTGTAGTGGGGGGCCCACTAGGGCACAGGTGTCTGGATCCTGGCCCAGGCCCATCGATCTCTGTGTTTGCGTGCTCCACTCCTTCACCACCTGCTTGAGAAAGTGGTATAATGAGGTTACTATATCTAAATATTGATCTCCCAGATCATTTAGGGCTTTACATGTCAACACCAAGACACTGAACTTTGAGGAGGAGGAGGAGAAAGAAGAAGAAAGAAGAAGAAAGAAGAAGAAAGAAGAAGAAAGAAGAAGAAAGAAGAAGAAAGAAGAAGAAAGAAGAAGAAAAGCTTATACTTGAAATAAAAATTTGCTGGTCTTAAAGGAGCCATGGGAGTCAGGGTTTGCTCTTTGTCCTGCACAAGCACTTTTGCTTTCCCTCCCCCTCCCTTCCTCCCAAAGGAGGCGAGCTCTGCCAATGGAGGGAAGGGAGGCTTGACTTGGTTCTCTCCTGTATGAAGCAGGAACCAGGAAGAGGGAGCTGGGCAAAAGTGAGCTGCAATTCCATGGTGGCGGCAGCCCCAGAGAAGGAAGCAACAGAGAGTCAGTTACTCGCAGGCTGGATCCAACCCCTGCAGGGGCCAAATCCTGCCTGCAGGCTGTATGTTTGACATTCTTGCAAATAAGCATATGCTGATCTACCTACTTTGTGTAGGCTATTGTCACAGGACTGAAAGAAGCCTGCGTTTCAGAACGTACCACTTTTACCACTGAATCCAAGATCCTGTGACCCACAAGGGCGAAGGTGAAGCATTAAGCCCTGCCCCTTCCCCCCCCCCAGTTCATACCAGGAGCATGGCGAGGAAGGCCACACCCATGAGCACACTCTCCACCATGATGAGCTCGCTGCTGCGTGGGAGTCTCTGTAGGACTGTGGAGTTGATCCCTGGGAGGATCCCCTGGCTGGAAGTGCCTGGAGGGGAAGCCACACTTTAGAGGAGGGGAACAGTTAGGAGAGCATTATAACAGAGCCCGAATGACTGCGGGATGGAGCAGAAACATAGAAATATAGGAGCTATGCAAGACTACGGAGATTAAGGCACCTGGGAAGAAAATGCCAGTGGATACCAATTTGTCTATTCATTATTTTATTTATTTCACTGTATTTACACCCCGCCCTCCCCGTGAACGGGCAACGTCATGAAGCCAGTGCCAGTCACTCAGGATACTCACCACAGTGCTGCACATCTTGAACGGTGTGCTTCATATCATAGAGATACCACTTCAGGAAGAAGAACGTAGGCATCTGGGCACAGACAAAACTCAGCTGGGAACAGAAGGATGGGAGAGGATCTGAGACGAGGACAACAACGTGCAAGGAAATGGAAGTAGTCAGACGGAAGAAACCAAAGCCTGAACACCCACTTCCCGGCAGACGAGGAAGAAAGGCACGGGACATGCCTCTGTTCCACTCATGACCCACCAAAATACTGTCAACAGAGCTCTCACACTGAAGAAGGCATAGAAGACAGTCTGGAAGACAACAATGTAGCTGTTGTAGGCCCCGTGGGGTGCTCTCTTTTGCTCCTGGACATGCTCTTCCTTGTAGTTTACATAGTCATAGTATTTCTGTGCCATCCTGTGGGAGAGGGTAAACAAAGCCTATTATCATCTACCAAGAAATACTTCCACAAGTTGCATTTCCATAATGTCTCAGATCCATTTACCGCATACATTTTTTAAAATTTCTCTTTATTCATTTTTCATAACAAAGCAAACAAGAACATGCAAAGAATCCAATAATAAACACTCGACATTCCTACAAAAGAGTTACAGTATCATTCAGGTATTTTTGAACTTAAAGCCCCAGAGATAGTAATAACAAATAACGAAAGCATCCTTTAAATTTCGACTCTTAGTATGTTACATCAGAACCCATTTTTGGTAACAGGTATTTATTGGCAATATGCCCCGTGAAGTAAGAAATGAAAATATCGGGAACCAGGTTGATTCAAATTTGAGGTTAGAGGACCGTAAAATTTGAGCTCTATGTACTTTATCTGCTATCTTAGCCATCACAAATTGATCCCATATTTTTTCATGCCAGGCTGCTATCGTTGGAGGATGAGGAGACCTCCAACATGACGCTAATGTCAAACGCGCTGCAGCCAGAAGCATCGAGATAATTTCCCTGTTCCTAGCATCCATATCATTATCCCAGTAGTTCAGCAGAAACACTTCAGGCTTAAGACTAAGATCTATCGAAGTTATGTCAGCGATCTCCTTCCGAACGTCCTCCCAAAAATTACTCATCCGTGGACATGCCCACCAGCAGTGAATAAAGGTACCAACCTCCCCCGCAACCTTTCCAACAGCGTGGATCACTCTTCATGTTTATCTTCTGTAATTTACACGGTGTCATGTACCACCTCGAGAACAATTTAAAAAATTGAAGCCGAATGTTAAAAACATTCGAGTTATTAGCTGGCGAGGACCACACCTTCTCCCAGTCTGTTCCATCCCAGCAA